TCACATTTTTAATGCAACATGGCGTGGACCTCGGTGTTGGATATATGAATGCTTCATACCTCATGACTGTGTTAGGTGGCAGTTCTCTTGTAGTACGTATTGGACATGGCTGGATTGTCGATCGTAGATTTATATCACCAATTGTAATGCTGGCAGGAAGCACTCTTCTATGTGGACTCTTAAATCTCACTTTCCCTCTAATTGTTGGCTATACATGGTTATTTTTTTACTGTTTACTGTTTGGATGTGCAAGTGGTATGTACAACTCGCTTCATTATATTGCGGTCAAAGATATCGTTTCTGCCGAACACTACCCCAGCGCCATTGGACTTGATCTGTCATGTATGGGTCTTGGATATTTCGTTGGTATTTCTATAGCGGGTAAGTGAATATTGATGCGATAATGCACTCCAACAATGTCCGAAAGATTGTAGCTGGCCGTAAATTGCCTTGTATGACATTAAAAACCATTAACAACTCAGTAATGATATACAATAGGTCAATGCCCTCTCTACAAGTCAACACCAAGTTATTTGTGACATTGGTAAGACCATGAATTGAGAAATCATAGCAACTGTGTTTCTCAAAATCAAACAATATGTATTGCAGAAGAGCATGCACAGAATGAGGAGCTATTTTCATAATTGTAAATAGAATACGGTCTCAAAGTAAACATCAAACTTGATACAAAAATTCAGAACAAAAGTGCATTTCCTATTGCTGTCTTTCAGGTAAATTGTACGAGATGTCTAGTTCGTCAGGAGCTGTGTTCTATATTGCTGGAGTGTTTGCAATTATGGGTACCATTAGTCTCCTTGTCACGCATGCGTGTCAGGAATACTGTGTGAACAAGAAGAAAACGTTTGACAAGTACATTGGGAAATATGACAGTGGACAGTTTCATGAAGAACGTCTGTGTATTGTAGAGCGTGTTTCTGTGTTGTAGAGCGTGTTTCTGTGTTGTAGTCCGTGTTTCTGTGTTGTAGACCATGTTTCTGTTTTGTAGAGCGTGTTTCTGTGTTGTAGAGCGTGTGTCTTTGTTGTAGACCGTGTGTCTTTGTTGTAGACCGTGTTTCTGTTTTGTAGACCGTATTTCTGTGTTGTAGACCGTGTTGCTGTGTTGTAGACCGTGTTGCTGTGTTGTAGACCGTGTTGCTGTGTTGTAGACCGTGTTGCTGTGTTGCAGACCATGTTTCTGTGTTGTAGACCATGTTTCTGTTTTGTAGACCGTGTTTCTGTTTTGTAGAGCGTGTTTCTGTGTTGTAGACCGTGTTTCTGTGTTGTAGTCCGTGTTTCTGTGCTGTAGACCGTGTTTCTGTTTTGTAGAGCGCGTTTCTGTTTTGTAGACCGTGTTTCTGTGTTGTGTTGTCGACCGTGTTTCTGTGTTGTAGACCGTGTTTCTGTGTTGTAGACCGTGTTTCTGTGTTGTAGACCGTGTTTCTGTGTTGCAGATGTGTGGCGTCCGTTGTACACTGAATACATATCAGCATCTCATCTAAACCCTGCTTTAATACTTTGTTGTTACTGCCCTGTGTATTGTACAGTCTAACCTAGTCGTGCGTTCCGGTCATATCACTTGAAGATTGACTGGAAGTATACAGATAAAACTGCCACGAATCTAAAACACTCATATCCATTATATATTGGAGGAGAGCTTATAGATTCATGTTTATTGAAGATAGCACAAGTCATTATAGATTGGGTTGTCTCGCATCTCAAGCGCTCATTTGTCATATAGATAGGACTATCGTGCATCTCAGACACTCAAAGATTGGATCAGTGCAGAGATTGCAAGGCATGTCAGTTGTACAGACAATTTGGGGATTTTTGGGAGCTTCATACTCACTGCCTTAAACTAGGTCAGGGTAGGTTTAATCAAGTGCGAGTACCATATATGCACACATGTATCAGTTCATTTGAATATATCCCAACATATGGGCTCATGATTGTCATTGAACAATATAGGAAATAATCTATACACACAAGGTTGCCATTATGTGTATAAATATTGCCATTATGTGTATAAATATTGCCATTATGTGTATAAATATTGCCATTATGTGTATAAATATTGCCACTATGTGTATAAATATTGCCACTATGTGCATAAATATTGCCACTATGTGCATAAATATTGCCACTATGTGCATAAATATTGCCACTATGTGCATAAATATTGCCACTATGTGTATAAATATTGCCACTATGTGTATAAATATTGCCACTATGTGTATAAATATTGCCACTATGTGTATAATATTGCCATTATGTGCATAAATATTGCCACTATGTGCCTAATATTGCCACTA